ACCATCCTACATCATAACCAACCAACCATTACTGGGTTATTTTTCTTCACTTCCTGTAGATTCCCATTAGTTTCATTTCCCACTTTCTGGTCCCCAAACTAAAATATCATGCTTAGTAGGATGCGGATGTGAAGGGGTGCTAGTCCAAGCTCATCGATACCATGTTCTTTAGATGAGAAAGGCAAGCATCCAGCTAGAAGCACCAGCAGGGTACTTGTTATTCCTTGCCACAAGTGTCTCATCCCCTACAATAAATCATTAAAACCACTTCCTGCTTGGGGGGGTTAAAAAAACCCAAACATAGACTTTTGTAGTGTTCTTTACAGTTAGCCACTCAGAAGACCAAAAAATACCAAAAGAACTATACTTGTACATTGATAATTTACTGAATTGCTTTTAGCTGTTATTTTAAAAACACATCTTTAACAACCCATTGAAGCATAGTGTATGTACTGTCTAGTTACTGTGTTCCAGCTTATGGCATAAAGGGACTGAATGATTGTCCAAGCAATTTACACTCTCACAACAAACACATCTGACTTTCAGCAAGCAAACAAATGAACGAGAGCTTGCATTCCTGTGTGGACTTGTTATTACTAGAGATGGTTGCAATAATACTGCTATGGGATTTAATCATTGAATGGAGCAGCTGTTACCCTGCACTGAAGCTCACTTTGAAGACCACAATAGAATACTTTCTCCAGGATATGACCCTAGACTATTTGGCTGTACCATATAAGTGGAAATAAAGAAGACAATTGGAAGTTTTGGCCCATAGACATGCTCAATTTGCTCTATAACTAATTATAATCTATTAACTCATGTTTGTATGAAGGCAGAAAAGGTGTCAGTCTTTCGTACAATCACTAAGCACAAGAAGGAAGCTATATAAAAATGTAGAACTGAGATTTCTTCAGATTGAAGATTTTAGCAGTGGTGCCACCAACAATTGTCTTTTTTTGCCCAGTTTTTGTTCACTCCCTAAGTGAAAAAAGGCACAGAACTATCATCACCTAGAAAAAGGGCTGTTAAATTAATTATACAAGTACACAAAGGAAAGTGAGATCAGTGAAACCAGAACCAGCAGTATGTGCCTGGACATAAATAGGTAAACACCCAGCACTTATGTCACTGGCAATGTATTGGCACATACTGTAATTATGTGAAATGTACAAATGTGTATACTTCATTACAAATTTGACACTACAGTAATAAAGAGCATCCCACTAAGATAAAAGAAAAACCCAATGGATTTCAATCAATTAATCCGCCACTTTTGTTTATTTTTACAGTGATATCTCAGAACGCAAATTTAATCCGTTCAGAACTCCGGATTGAATCCTAAAAAGTTCGAGTTCTGATCGAATTTTCCCCATAAGAAATAATAGAAAACCAATTAATTGGTTCCCGGCCCCAAAAAATTACACCTAAATATGTTTTTTTTAGCATTTACACACAAACTGTATACTGTAATAAACACATCTAAGCACATTTATCAAAACAGTGATTTGTAAAGTAAGAAAGTAAATGTATCCAAGCAATGTGTAAAGTTAAAAAAAACCAATGTGTCCTGCCCCAATCGTCCGCGTGCTACGCCCCCTCGTGGAATTCCCGTGTGATCAGCTGTTTCTGGTTGTTGTCATTAGTCCTCTGTATTTCGTTCGCGTTTCAGTTTGTTTCCCCAGTCCGGTCATTGTATTGTATGTCTGCGTTTTGCCTGCCTTACCTGTAATTAAACCCCGTATTCCCCGATACCCTGACATCTGCGCCTTTGTATTATTATAATGAAATGTATTAATGGTTTATTATTAATAATAATAAATAAATAAATCTTTATTTTTTAATTATTATACCATAATTACTGTTACTGTCTATCATTGTCTAAATGTATTTTTACTGTCTAAATATATGTATTCAGCAAGTGTAAACATGTTCGATGCCATCACAGCGAATGTGAGGCTGAGACTGAAGCCTTACCCTTTGTTTCCGCTGAGAGACATGCCGCCTGAGTCATTTCCCCGCGCGTACAAGTTATCTTAGGTCTGTGTTCACGGTTTGACTTCTGAGATTCAGATCGAGCTCTAGGTAAAAAAATTTCGAACTGGTTGGTTCGACTTTTAAGAAATTTGAGTTCGAATGAGTTCGAGAACTGAGGTACCACTGTACATACTGTACATATCTGAGAAACAACAGATATGGTGTCTTTTGGTCCATACCTGTAGGTAAGAGAATAAGAAGCAACGTTTTGCGTTTAAATGTCGCCACCTAGTGTTAACCCTCTCTAACATGTAGGGCCGTAATTATCTCTAACGCATTTTAGATTTTAAAATTGCATTAAAACTGTCACTAACGTGCAGAAGCGTATTGCATTCATCGGAAATATACGACTGAATTAATGAGATAACCATCCTGTTTTTACGAGTAGTATTTAGCTGTGTTTCTGAATTAACGAAATAGATATTACTCGTAAAAACAGGATGATTACATGTTTTTCTGAACTTCTGTCGGTTCATGACCGCGGTAAAGATAATTTGCAATTTGGTATTCCATTGAATTTATCTTTACAGTGCAGTGAAGTATGCATTAGTGAACAGTGGTATTGTGTTACTTGTGATCTGTGAATTCAGATGACATCACCCCACCCCGAAATATTATATTTATAATAAAGTATAATATTAAACTCTGCCTTTTTCATTTCGAGTGAATAATAATAATTTAAAAAAAACCTTATTACATAAACAGGTCCAAACAGGCTCATACTGACCAGTCTGATTTTTGAGTTCGTCTGCCAGTGACCTGATATGTGTGTGAGGAAGGGGTTCAAACCAACCGTTTCGACACTTGGGCCCAATCCTATTTCTCCTCCCTTAGCCCTACCACTATATTTTGAGGGCCCTCCCTTCCGAAGTTGACTTCACAGATCGTAGCCACAAGGGGTAGGGCTTGAAATCTTTACCTATAGTAATCGGGACACCACTCGCTTATGAGCTGCCTGGTTTGCTCAGGAGTCCCTGGAATAGTACAACATGCTTTTAACACTGACAAGTCACTTTAACATTACAACATGATTATACCACTGACGTGTCCCTAGAATATTACAAAATGATTATGACACTGTCGATTTGTGGATTAGCATTCCTTTTGCAATGGCACGCAGATTTAAAATTAAGAATATCGCATGCAATATTTCTATAAAACATGCACACGTTTTGCATAAACAATGTGTTTATGTTGCATAAACAATATGTCAGGAACAATGTCTTTTACATATTCCACGATGTAGAATAACGCACTTAGAAGACTATTGCATGAAACACAGAAAACAATAGGGGGTGAGTTTCCCAAAAGTGTCGTAGCCAAAAAACTACATAAAAAGAACTTTGAATGTTCTGTCTCTGAATAAATACGTTCTTAATTCTTCGACGATTTTGTGAAACTCACCCCTGCTCGGTTCTTTTTCTATAAATACTAGATAATGCTCTGTCTCTACGCACGGAATTAGCGTTTTCAGAAAATTGTTTTTGAAAAATTCAACCTCATACTCCGTTTCACTTGCATTAAACCAAGATATTCCGCTAAAATTAGTTTTTTTTTGCAAGCGTATTTATAAAGATATGAGCTTCTTTCCCCACACCGCTAGGCATCTTTTCTTTTCTTATTGTGTATTGCAATGCGTTGGGGGAATTTTCTTCTTTCACTCGGTTTTGAGGCAGCATCTGAAAAATCTCCGTTTCAAGGGCTATCTTGAGGGCTTAACACCACTACCCCTCCCTGCTAAAAAGAAATGGGACAACACTACCCTACGCGGGTACGCGCAAAACGGAGGGGTAGGGCTAAGTGGGGGTACTGGGACTGGGCCTTGAAGCTTCCAAAACTCACTGTCAATCATACAATTTGTCTAACACATTTTAGTATTAGACAAACATTAATTTATGGAAAAGTCAAACATATTATAGCATTGTTTATTTTTGCACATTTCACTTAAGTCTATGCCTAAGTAGAATTGCAGATCTAATACCAAAACACTTGACCAATGACCAATGAGGACCAAATCAGGCTGATATTGACCAGTCTGCTTTGAGTTTTTTCCACCACCCAGTCAGATTTACAGCCAGTCACTGGCTGCTCTTACACTTTTACAAACCGAATAATATGGGTATTATGACTTAGGAGGCTATTCTCATTGTTAGTAAGCTTTGTGGCTATATACCAACAACTGCGTGGTCAGACACAGCTCTAACCCCTTTACCAAATATATTGAGGATACCCCATCGTAGGGCAGCTCACCAAGAACACACTAAGGAGCTGACCATCAAGTTCAGGAGGCTCTCTCACTGACATCAGGAAAAAAATTGATGCCACATCCATCCCTACAAGGAAATTGATTTTTTGCCTCCATAAGACACACGGACAGGGGAGAACAAGCTTGGGGGTCATAACTAGGGGCGGATTAAGGTGTACAGAGGCCCCTAGGCTACAGTAGTCTGTGGGCCCCCCAACCCCACCCCCCTCTGCACCAATGGGGGCCCCCTTGCAGGCTGGCACACGTGGGGCCCCTAGGCTTAAGCCATATCTAGCCTGTGCGTTAATCCGCCCCTGGTCATAACATAGGGTTGGCCAGCATCCAGTGCCCCTAGAGCAATTGGGTTTACAAGTTTCTTATGTAGTATCTCTTTCTGTGCTGACAGGTGGGTTAAGGTTTGAAAAGGCAAAAATGCAAGCATGTTTAAGCCTTAGTAAATACATGTGGGGGGAAAAAAAAACAACACACACACACACACACACACACACTTCCTTGTGATCAGGGACACAGTTAGAGTGCCAAATGTATAACTTGCCAATCCCACGTTTGAAATTTAGTTCCCCAAGGCACAGTTAAGTAGCTCACACAATTTTATCATAGTCCCACACATTAGCAGAATTTACCACAATAATGTCAACAGAAAACAGCTGTCAATAGAGAAAATGTGAATGAGGCAAGACACCACCCCACTTTCCGGTTAGGATTAGAATCAAACTTTTTCCTTTAATGTACAATGACAACTTTCACAGAGGCTAGGAGAACATCACGGTGTAATGATTTTATGGGGACCCATCCTGGAATAAATGACTGCATGAAGGTGGTGGGGGGGGATGGGAGGTAAAAAAAAAAAAAAACACAAACATACAGATACATTTAGCACCAGGGGCACTTTTGCTTTAAGAACAGTCTTTGGTTTACTTTACATTTATTCACAGTACAGTCCATGGTGCAGACTTAAAATTAGTTTTAAATAAAAAAGAAAAGTGAATTCAATATTTTTGAGTGGATCTGTTTATCCAGGAAAAGGGTACTGGGAATTCAGACAGTTAGGGTATGCCAGTCTATTGCAGTGCAGTCTCAGTTTTGGAGTGCCTTACATTGCTCATAAGACGGGCAATGTAATCAGAACAAGGTAAACAAAACCACTACATGCAGCTCTAGAAGTGCTCCAAGCATTTAGCCAAGCACGCCAAGTAAAATGCAGGTGCTAGCCCTATTCTTTTAGGCCACTACTTAGAGCCTTTACATGGTTCAAATCAAATCAATCTTATGACCGACTCCATTTTTGCCTAATCTGTTTAGAGGATGGCGACTTTTGTCTTTAGGTGAAGTTTCAGGGTTGTGTATAGTATTTCAGTGTCTGGTGGAGCCACAGACTACTAACCAAACTCACGTCTGAGAAATGCTAATATTGTGGGTGCTACTTATAAAAACCTGTAACATCTACAGATGCTTGAAAATTCAAACATGTTGACATTTCAAAGAAAGTTTTTTCTATTGCAGTGTCCCACTCTTCAAGATGAAATGGAGTTGCAAGAAAACCAAAACACAGTTCAGGTCAAATAAAACAAAGAAAACTTCTAAGGAACACCAACAAATCATTAAATTAGAAGTAAATCATTAGTAGAAGTGAAATTTTTGACTAAGCCAGACAACTGAAGTGTACCGGAACTTGGCACACACTAAACAGTACAAATGCTATTCCTGCTTTGTGACGGGCTAACCAAAAAACTAAATTTCACAAGGCTATAAAAATGCCAATTAGATTATTCCATATACAGATCTTTTGGTACTGCATTGTTTTTATTCCGTTTTGATATGACTAAGGCAAGGAGTTTCAATAAACATAAAAAAAAAATCTGAAATGCTATAATGGTTTAACATGTTAAACAGGTTCCTGGTTTTTAGGTTACCAAGAATCAGAAATACAGCCATTAGTGAAGTCTACCTCAACTGAAACAGATACAGCCACACAGCAGAACATAAATTAGCATCTACTTTTGGTCTACTAAACTCGAAAAGAGTTACACTTACAGGGATGAAGGAACATACCTGCAGCAATAACAAGCGCTCAAGCGGCCTATAGCTTGAAAAATGTCTCTCCGAGAGGTAAAACATGATTCAGTCTTCCATTTTTGCAGTTAATTCAGAAAGAGGGGACCTTTAGTGATGGTGTTTATCTGGCCAGAATAGGAAGTAATCTGGGTTCAGCACCCCTATGGGACTCTGCAAAGTCTGGTATGACCAACACATCATCATCATGCCAAGCTGACTTCAGCAGACTCCTGTGTTTCAATCACCCTGAAGACCCCATCCCTCTCCTGATTCTTGGTCTTTTCAGCTTGACCTGAAACAAAAAGATAAAAATGCATATTTAAAGGGGGCCTAGAGAGCTCATAAAATGCTAAGTGTGTTGCTAGCACAGAGGGTATAACTGGCTATGCCACTTGACATACTCCATAAATCGCTGCGGTCCAGCAGAAGTTCCAGATCTTTATCACTGATGACCTTTCCCTTTGTGCCTTTCACTTCCCTGAAACAATCATGACACAGCGATCATCATGGATCAACACACCAAAACACAATTTAGCAACACATGCATTTTGGATTGTACCATTTATAAATGTATAATGTAAAAAAAGTTTCGAACACTGCAATACAGCAAGACCTCAGACATTCGTGAGGTTATATGTTCCAGAACCCATCGTGAATAAGGAAGATTGTTTGGTAGACACCAACTCGAAACAGCTGATCACGCGGGGATTCCACATGAGGTAGATGAGGGGGCGTGGCACACGGGAGGATCGGACAAGCAGGTCATGACAGTTCCAAAGGGAATAAACTTTGCGAATGGGATTCACATCTTATGTACATACAGTACAGTATGACCATAAAAAGGTTAAGTTTCCATAAGAAAGCCACGTTTTTCAAGGGATTTTAACTGATTTATATTGTATGTCTTAAACTTTCCCCAAAAACACAGTAGAATCTTCACTAACTAAATTTCGTACCAATTTTACACTTAAAAGCATGAAGACTTATAAATTACTATTAAAATTAAACAGAAACACTTTTGTAGGGATTTGAGGATTTCAGATTTGCGAAGAAATCGCAGATGCAAATAAATTCGGTTCCAATTAAATTTTTGCACATCTGTGAATTTGCGAATCAAAGCACGAATGGGCAAGGGCTTGTTTAGCAATGTAGAGGCATGTGACTTGGCAGCCCTTCAGAGAGCATAGTAAAAAATGCAATTAAAAATGTAAGTGGCAGAATGCTTTTAAGGGTCATGTACATGCAATGCACCCATATATTGATGTTTCTCAGGCTCGTTAAACACTTTGGGCTAAGTGTACTTAAACCCCTGACTTCAGCTGATGGTAGAATATGGTTAAAGTGGAAAAAAGCACATGGCTACATTTGATGGCAAGGTTTGGGGTGGCCACAGTATTGATGATATTGTAGTAGCCTATTGACGCATGCGAGTTTAGTGTAATGTTACCTCACATAGTCTCTAGACTTCAGCAGCTCTACCAATTCTGACATCTCCAGACACCTTTTGGACTGTTCAAGCTCTGCCTGGCCACCTTTGAACTTATCTGTGGAGAAATGGACCCAGTTGTGAATACTTGAAAAACTATTTCAACAGCTACCCATAACTGAAGGACTTTGAAGGAGGATCACAATTTCCACAAGATGACCTTCAGACAATTAAAATTAAGAGTTATTTTGTTACCGAGCTAGAGTAATGAGGGTACTACTAACTTTTGTGGATGACCATCTTCTCCAGCTTCCTCTTGGCAGAAGCTTTCTCTATGATCTTCCAGTCAATGGTGTTGGCGGTAACAAGGCGGTATACAACTATCGGCTTTGTCTGTCCGATTCTGTGGCACCGATCCTGCGCCTGAAGGTCTGCTTGAGGGTTCTAAAAAATCCAGACCAAGCAAAACATAAAACAGTAGTCACACAGCGCTGCACCATGCTTCTCATTCCTTCAAAAAGCTCTAAGAGAAGGTAGACAGAGAAGAGAAGCACAGGATGTTTCTCAATATGTGTACTTGACCGTACTTGTGTTCTTGTGGACTCATTTTATGTCATCTTCCATTGCTGAAGACCAGTTCCAGTACAAGAACAGAAGTACAAAGGACAGTAAAAATCCTCAGATGTCTTGCCCAGCCCCAAATATCAGGGATACATCGGTTGCATCCTCACCAAAGGAGACCAATCCCATGATTCATTGCACCCCAAGTTCGTTCATAGGAGACAAGTTAGCAAGACTGGTCTTGCCAAGACCACAAGTATGATCGTTGCATTCTTGGTACTGGAAAACACACACAGTGTCCGAACTGACCCAATCGCTATCAAAGATGATGACAGTGTCAGCAGCTGTCAGGTTGATGCCCAAGCCTCCAGCTCTAGTGCTGAGCAGGAAGAGGAATACATGTGGGTCTGAAGAAAACTTTTTAATCTGGAGAGACAAAAACAGAAAACAGGAATAAAGGCAAGGGAAGCTACATAATAGGCCTGTAAGCTCAGTGAGATACTGAGCAGACTGCACTCACATTTTCATCCCGCTCTGTATAAGGCATGCTGCCGTCCAAGCGACTGTACAGATAGCCCCGCAGGTAGCAGTAATCCGTGAGAATGTCCAAGATAGAGGTCATCTGGCTGAAGATCAGAACCTGCACAAGTAGGTTTAGTTAAAGTTCCTTTGGCAGTGATTCAGGTATCACCACACTAACTCAAATTGCATTGTTTAAATGCTGCCTTTGGTTTTTTGAGGAGGAAAATTATTTGGAGTATTCTACGTTTAAGTGATGTTAAATTCAGCTGTGCAGCTACTGAATAACTTTAGTGGTATGACTTTTTTTACATGGTTCAAGGTTTTGAAATTCTAAAAGAGGAAAAAAAACAAAAAATTGTGTCAAAGCAGGATATTCATAAAATCATAATACTTATCAAAAACTGGCACCTAGATATCATGATGATATATCAGGTCACTGGTGATTCCCATCCCTAGACTTAACCCTCTGGGACCGGCGGTCCCGCTGGCGGGACCTGACAGAAATTTCGCCAAACCATTTAAATAACTCTGCGAGTTTTAGTCATATACACATTTAAAAAACACCCTCAGAAACCTTGGACGGTCTACTTTTCAGATATATATAGGTAGAAACTAAATATATTTTTACAGCTTCGTGATACGAATAGAAAGAACAAGCACCTGCGTCTCGAAGCAGCTCTGATCGCCTTCCCACTTGCAAATCGCGCTATTCGCATGATAATAACATGATAATCCGACAGTTAGTATTGGGTAAATAAATATGTGAATACGCCCATTGTGACCAAAATAAACAAGAGCACATGTCTGGGTAGTGTTTACACTGATCGGCTACAATATAGCACACGGATACGTCTCTGCCGCTGAAGCTTTGCGCCAATGTTGCCAATTTCAGCAGCGAATCTCATACCTGTGTCCATGGCTCAGTGTGCTAAGCCTGTGTGTGCCTGTAATCACAAGATTGCTGGTTCAAACCCAGCCTATTTAGAACGTGAACAGCGATCCCGATGCAAGTAAAACAAAGAAAGATTATACGGTTTGTTTTTTTGCCTATTTAACCTAATTTTAAAAATTTTAATACTTCCGACAATGGAAGTTTTGAAAAGAAGACCGATTACGGATTTAGTCAGTGTTTTTTTTTCATGATTCCACATGATGATTTCAGCGAGATATAAACTGAAATACACGAGAAAGATACGCAGTCGACGATGCCCTTGTCCCGAGTGTTAATAATAGTCACTGCATCATATTTATCGCTTTCTATATTTATATGGTCACAGTTTTTCATTTTTCATTCCATCTACCAATAAACTGTGAACGGGATTTTATTGTTGCTACTTTTCTTGCGTTTCAAACTGCCTTTCCAAAGTGATGCATGTAGGGTGCAGTGACATTCTAGACTGATGGGCCATTGACAGTATGCAAACTACTACAGGTGTGAGGACACCTCTCTCATCAATATTCATTGTGCATGCCACTGACTGAGAAAAAGAGTGTCACTCCAAAGTTCTACCACTTTAGTAATCAAACCACATAAAATTTCAGAATGTCTCTTTCACCTATGTGTAGCCAACCCCTGTGTCTATAAGCTTCAGAGCTCAAAAGTCTTAGCTAGAAATGTCTATAATGTGATTTTTTACAATTTCTCAGCATGTCTGCAAATAGGTTTTTGAAAAGTATGTTTAAAGTTGATTTTAACAAAAAATAGAACAACATTTGAAGTGGTCTCAGATTATTGGTGCTGAGTTTGTGCTGAATAAAAGCACATGTAACATTTTGGGATAAATGTTTTTTTAGATAGGTGAAATATTTTAAAATGTCAAGGCATGTCAGACTACCCCGAAAGTGGAAAAGAGGCCTCAGGCCCCAGAGGGTTAACTTTAAATTAACCTTAAGCACCATGAATAAGGGATATGTCCACATTATCTAATCTACTTGGGAAAAGGCACAGAATTTATGAGTGGATTATTACTTGACTTGTCGGGTTTAGACCAACGTCACTCGTCATGTACAAACATCTCACCTTGTGTCCTCTTTTCTTTAGCTCTGGTAGCATTCGGTCCAGGATGAGGAATTTCCCAGAGGTCTCCACCAGTTGCTCATCAATCTAAACCACAGATACCAATGGTGGAGAGACCACTTACAAAAAATACCAGTGAGCCTTACATTAAACTACATTCATTCCATACATTCAAGTACCAGCCTTGCAAATTTAGGGTTCAAGCAGACTAGATATATTGTGATATTAACAGAAAAGACCACAACATAGTACATATAGATATGAGGGTGTGGTCAGGGTACCTTGAACTCCTGGGTTGTAGGGTCCAGGGGATACTCAATAAGGTATGGGTGGTTACAGCACTTCTTAAGGAGCATTAAAATGTTCTGGAGCTTCAGGTTGATCTGGGAGTCCTGAGGCATCTGCACATTGATCACAGGGTGGCTACTGCTAGATCGAAGAATAATGGGAAGGAAACTCGAATGTTACATTCAGCGATGCTGACCCAAAAGAGTGGAGTGTACACTAGACATTTTGACTGCCAGTATTTTAAAAACTGGCTGAGAAATGTCTGCTTTGACATGCTGGAGTCAAGTAGTCTGATGACCAAATCTCTCATTGCCATAACAGAGGCGAAGCCCAGTTTTTGCATAAATCCATATTTCAATTGTCAAATTTTATAAGTCACACAATATTACACTATCTAGAGAGGAAAGGAGCATGTGATCACTGCAGCACGTTGCCACAACCACCAAATGACAAACCACCTCAGGGATGAGAACCTGAATGCAGCCATGCAGCGGGTGATACCCTCAGCATCACATTAGTCCGAATGGACCATTGTGAATGTTTTCCGGAGTGCCAATCCTGCCACCAGCCCCCAAATTTTCCTGTGAATTGGAGGGCCTCCTTACAGGCCTGGATGTAGCAATTGCAGGTTAAGGACCTTGCCCAAGGGCCCAATGGAGTAGGATCACTCATGGCATTCACTGGATTTGAACCAACAACCTTCCGATTGCAGGGAGATCCATAGTCTCAGCCACCAATCCGCCCACTACATAATGTGCTATTAAAATGATCATATGCCAAATAATTATCTAAAGGACAACTACAGATGATACCGACTAAAAGCCGGCATAGGTTGGCTAACAAACTCTGATGTGGAGAGACTTTCCCAAATATGGTGCCTATGTGCAAATCTCAAAACGAACAGCTAAGAATCTGACCAGCTGTAAAAGGCTGTGCAACAGGCATGAAAAAAATTATCCGGTGAGCCGTTACCTCTGTTGGAGCTCTGACTCCTGCACCTTGTCCAAGTACTTTTTCAGGCCTTGGAATGTGTCCTTATCCGTCTCTGAGTAGTCCACCACCCTCCTGGAACGGCGCTTGGGCCGGCCACTGGATGTGAAATCTACAGGTGGAGCCTCCTGGAGACAGACAGCAGCGATCCCAGAGACTTCACGTTAGTTGGCCAAACTTCCATCACATCGCTCTCTTGGCTACACCCTGAAAGCTTGTTGAAACCACCCCCTATGCCTTTAATCTTGCTATATTCTGTCAAATACATCAACACAAGCAGTTGTATTTACTTGGGGGAAAAAATGTTCAGCACCTTTCTCAAGTATAAAATCAGATTAACCACCAAGCTACCTGCTGATATACTGCAGATTATTGCAAGATTATTTTGCAAGCTGCCCCAATGGATTGAGGCCTGATAACCACACTCAAGGATGCTGCACCTTCTCCTGGCCCAGCAGCTTGCTGATGGTTCTGTTCATGATAGCGGTGTACAGGGACTCCTGCTTTGAAGTCAATGGAGCATACACCAGGATCTCCTTCTTTGGAGGCAGATCAAGTACAACATCAGTCTTCAGCCTCCTCAGTAGGAAGGGGGTCAGAATCTGCAGGCCAAAGGACAGAAGTTAGAGGTGCACAATTTATCGGTTAACATATCGTATCAGCTATTTGCTTAAAACACACACACACACACACACACGGGATTGACATCAGTCTGACATGTTAATCCTAGCCTGTATTTACACTTCATATTTAAAGTTAGCAGCCCCAGAGCTAAACACACAACTGCTAAATTAATAGAGCTGATTGCATTGAAGGACAAGACATTTTCCACAGCGGAGAACGAGGGATTTTGTTGACTCTTCCACCAATTAAGAGGTTGGAAAGTACCAGCCTGTGAGACCATTTTATATGGCATGCCAAATTATCTTTATTCATTAATAAATCTGGCCCAGAGATTAATCTCTTGTTTTCCACAAGATAAACAAACAATGTAATATCATTCCATTGGCCCACTAAGCGGGGCGAGCACTATCACTAACAAGAGAAGGATTAATCAGGACCCACAGCATAGCACACTGCAAGGAAAGTCCAGAGGACAAACACACACTGCACCTGGTGAAGCATGTGCAGGATATTATTCTCTTGTTCACTGGCAACAATGCTTTCAGCGTCAGAACTGATGGTACTGATGTCAAACCAGGACTCAAAACTGCAATGGAACAAGAGAAATTAATATATTTAATCCAGATATAAAAATTCAGTTGCACTATTGAAATGGTCACATCTGGCAGCCAGATGAGTCATGTAATTCTATTAGAAGGGACGGTTCACTGTGCCTTGCTAAGCTCCACCCATATTCCCAGTACCTCTTGAGATCATCAAAGACGTCTGGCAGTAGGAAGTTGAGCAGTGACCAGAGCTCAGCTAGGTTGTTCTGCAGGGGAGTGCCTGAGAGGAGCAGCTTGTTGTCCGTGGGGTAGGTCTTGAGGTCTTGCACCAGCCTGCAGTTGAGGTTCTTTATCCTGTGACCCTCGTCTAAGATCAAGTACTTCCACTGGAACCGCTGTTGGTCGGTGGCAAGTAAGTGGGCCAGCTCTCACGCAGGTTTGCACAAGACACCAAAAGACTGGTATTTTCCTCAGATTCTGTTTTCATGACAAACAAGTTATCTACCTGTAGGTACTTGCGATCCCTCATGGCTATCTCAAAGGATGTGATGACCACAGGGTACATGTTCAGGGGCCCCTGGGTCTTGTGAATCTTCTTGACCAGGTTAATCCGATCTGCTTGGGGCCCATGGTACAGCAACACAGATACCTGAAACCCAAAATATTTATATATAAAAAAAAAAAAGTAAAAAAATGCACATTTCACACCACACCCACAAACCGCATCCATCTGCTTATCTAACAAGATGGCTGCAACAAAATAATAAGTATGGTGGGGTGAAGATGAAACCAGACCAAGAAGGTGAGAGATATCTGATTACTTAACTAAAGAAAGGGATTGACTAGCATCTTGTCTAAAGTGTATCCCTGCCCCCTATACGGCATGGAACAGGCCGCAGGTTTACCCATTGGATGATGGATGGAAAAATAAAGAAAATTAATGCCTTAACCCTCTGTAGTCGACGGCATTGTCGGCGATGCCGCGTATCTTTCTCGTGTATTTCAGTTTATAACTCTCTGAAATCTTATTATAGAAACGAAGAAAAAAAAAAAACGCTGACTAAATCCGTAATCTGTCTTCTTTTCAAAACATTCATTGTCAGAAGTATTAAAGTTTTTAAAATTAGGATTAAATCGCCAAAACAATAAACCATGTCACCTTACTTTGTTTTACCTGCATCAGGGGTGTGTAGTACCGCTCTCACCCGAAGATCGCTATTCACATTCTAAATAGCTGCATTAGCGCGTATTCAAATCGCATTCGCATGGTAATTCGATGAACAGCGCAACGGTGAAACGTGATCCAGATACATCCCCAGTACCATAAAAGGGGTGGTGTTGGGGGGCGTGGCCAGGTGTCAATGGCTCATGCATACACATAAAAGTTGCTACATATTCAATGAAAAGAGCCAGAAATAGTAACATGAGTTAGGTTTTTCTTATTTATTCAACTGAACTACACCATTTAGTCATCTTCATGTATCCAAGACTTTGGTGATTAGACATCTGGGATCAAAACAAACTTCCACCATTGCTTACTTATGTACTTTTATAATTTTTCAGCAAGTGTTACTTTGATATCAAATTACAAATTTCACATAAATCTGACATATTTACAAAGTACACTAACATTAAGATGAGTTTTATGCCAAAACAAATATATAACAAATAAGCTTAATTCATGGCAAATAAATTATGATAATGAATGAAATGTATGACCATGCCCCAGTCAGGGAAAGCATCTTCCCTACCCCTAGACTCCAGAGGGTTAAAGGTTAAGCTCAGTTCTGATGGCATGGTGTGTCACAATGACTGGTTGGAGAGTAGTTACACAACTTCTTCTTATACCATTATGTCTGTTCAGGTGCTGTAAAACTCACATCAGGTGTAAAGCGTTTGAACTCAGAGATCCAGTTGGACACTGTGGAGAGCGGTGCTACCACAAGGTAGGGTCCCAGCACCTTCTTCTCGACCATCATGGCGATGTGTGCAATGCACTGGATGGTCTTCCCAAGACCCATCTCGTCAGCTAGGATGCCATTAATCCCATTCTCCCACAGCATCTGCACAAGAAGCCCAGTCACATTTTCACTCCCAACTCACTGTGTTTAGCTACCGTTAGCTGTTGTCGCCATTTGGCTCGTTTTGGAACACAGACTTCCAAACGTAGTGACATTCATAACAGTGTGGGCACTGCTGACAAACACTGGCCTGGCATGCTCACCCTGAGCCACTCGATGCCCTCCACCTGGTACCACCTCATGACTCCACCCGTAAAAAGCCGGGGCTGATGAAAGGGAACAGGTTGCCCATTCACACGGCGCGTGGGGTCCAACAAGTGCTTGGCGCTGTCCCGCACGGCCTCTGACAAACGACCCTTGATCTCTTCATTGGAGTCACTCATTTTTGCAATGTCCTCTGCCTCCAGCTTTTTAGGTTGGGAAGAGGCTTCCTAAATCAGAGCAAAATACATGTTGAGGCACATCTTTGGGTTTGGATGAGAAAAACAAAATTGACCAACACAAACAAGAATGAACACTGTAAATAAATAAATAAATAAATAAATAAATAAATAATCTACATATATTATAGACAGTGGGTCTTCCCAACAAAAGAATTTATGGTTATAAGAAAATAAAACTCACCTTCACAAGTTTAGGCTTTTTGGCCTTTGACAATATTTCCTAAAAGAGAACAGAAAATAGCTTAATACTTAAGAACACACACAAAAAAGCATGAAAGCAGTGTACATCAAGAAATTTTTACCTCTTTGGACATTACATCTGCAATTTTGTATTCTTCCTCCCTGTCACGTTTCCTCCTGTCAGCTGAAAGACCAAAAGGCTCCTTAACCATTTCCTGACCAGGACTTCACATGGCACGTGGGATTTATTGGAATATAATTACATACCTTTCTCAGTCTTTTGGCCGTTTCCCTGCAGTAAAATATTCGGTTAGTGAATAAAATCTTCAACAATGTCCAGTCAAGAAGATCACAACCACTGTATTTTCATATCCATCATGTACATCGACGAGGCAAACTCACCTTCTGTTTCTGGGCCGAAGCCTTCCTCTCAAGCCGCTCTTTTCTCAATTTTTCCTAAGATTACACACCAAGACACATACAGCCCATGCTGAGAGGGTACTATTAATGTAGGTGCACAATAATTTATACAACCTACAAAATTCTGCACTACCATCCAGTGTTCTGGGTGCTCTTTTGCTCAGAATAAGATTTTACAGAACCCACCATACACCTGAAAGGACCCATTATCCCCAAGTTATTTGCACAATCAACTAAAAGTGCCCCAAGCCAGCAATTAATAATAATGTAATTCAGCACAGTCTGAGACCGTAGCAGTGGACACAAGGCACAATATTTAGACTGCAAAACCATATCTGACTAATGTGAGGCCCCCCCATTTCACTACACTTGCATCAGGTCATATCTTAAGTAATATCAGCTTAGGTGTGAAAGGAGCCTGCAGGCTTTAACTACACCAGGCTAGTTGCCTTGGTGTGTGGGTGCGATCATCTACTCTACCTCCTGCTGCTGCTGTTCCATCTTGGTCAGCAGAAATTTGGAGTAGATATTACTCTTCTCCAACAGGTGCTGCAGCCTCCTAAACCGCATTTCGTGAGTTTCTCTCTCCCAAGTTGCACGAGCCTTTAGCCAATGGGAAGAAAACCAGAAAAACACCTGTAATTCTCCAACAAACAAAGATAGACAAAGGCCCTATACAGTCATTCTGATGAGCCCAAAAATGCAGCATGGTGGATATGGTCACTTCATATTTAAATTTTTAATCATGCCTTGTCCATCATCTCTTTCTCCATTCTCTCCCCTTCCTCCATTAAGTGTTTCTCTTCCTCTTCCATCTCTTTGGTGACGACATTTTCTTCTGTCTCGTCTTTTATGTTGGGTGTCTCTGAAAGATTTGAATACAACATCTTGCACCTGGTCTAATCTAATCACATACCACAGCTACGTCACACGTACACAAGTGATGACAAAGAATATGTTTCTGCTCACCACTGCCAGCGGCGCCCTCAACAGCAGTACCCTGGGGTTGCTCTGGTTCATTGGGCTTCGGACAATGAGGGGACACGCTTCGGGTTTCGTCTTTTATGCTGCATACAGAAACAGGAGAATTGCATTCGCGTGCGCACACATTCTGGACAGAAATCAACATTTTCAAAGGCATCACACTGTTTGACCGCTTTTAAAGTTATCGGATGCGGTCTGCGTTTCTTTTGTGCTCGCCTATGAAGAGCTGAGGTGTGCCCGACATCCAATGGAATAAGCAAGAAGGCGGGTTTTACCTCGCATGTTCAGCATGCCGATTGGACGATGCTCTTTGATTAATGGGTGCGCTGAGCAGGGCAGCGATTCGTTTTGCATGCACACCAATCTCTCTACCCACGTTTCGTGACAAAGACCTGAAATATTAGCTATCCAATATACCTAACAATTTATAATTACGTACAATAAAACACAGCCGCCGCTATACCACGGTTTAACTTAAACTTGCTTTGAATCCTCAGGAGTTTACTTTCGCAGGCTTTTACACAATAGTCGTAATTGCTATTTGCTAGTAAAGATTTGTTTCTTTACGTCTTGTTTTGTAATCCAAGCCTGGCTGCTTAACTATCGACAAATGATCTTAACGATCACTACACATACAAGAAAACTAAGTAACTATTTTGGTTAGAAAAGTACAACGAAGCGCCACATTTATACAGTTAAGTTCACACGGATAACGCCAAACTACTTCACTGGAACGTTGGTTTTTCGTTTAAATTTTAAACAATGCATACCTGTTCATTGTCAGTAAAATTTGACCAAAAAAAGTAAAACGTGCCGCGCAGTTTCTTCTTCCTGACAGACTAAATCTGCTGCCTGGCACCTCAGCTTGGGGTAGTCGGTCCACGCTACGTCAGAAGTCAAATTTCTGCAAAATAAACACTCGGGCTTCTTTATAGTAGATTACACTCCCAAAACAAAACTGCAAGAACGATGGGTTAAAGTGCTAAAAGGACACAGGACGCAAATGTCTATGACACACAAGCTGCCCTCAGAATGCTATCCGCATAAAAGTAGGAGGTCTTGCGGCGAAATTTCGCGCCAAAACAGGAGAAACCAAAATCTTGGGTGGGTGTGCGCAGCTTTTCGATATTAATTTCGAGCGCTGAACGACTAAAATGAAGACTGCAGTACATATACAAAGTTACTAATCACTGTGATAAATATTGCCATTTTTTCTGGCAAATTGATTCAGAATAGCAACATCACAAACATCCAAAAAAACAAAGTACCCCCTTTGGCGTCAAACATTTTACATCCCAATCCCGCGAAGACGAAATTTGAGCAGTGTGCCACCTTTACCTGTGAAGACGTAGTGCACAAGAAAGTAGCCCAGTATGCTTTTTTTTAGTACCCGCGAGCAGGTGTTCGGCTTTGTACTCGCCCTTCGTTTAAATTACTAGCCTCAGGCGGTTGGGGCAGTATGATATCCAGCCATATTAATGGTTATTACATAATATTATATAACATTTACAACAAATAAATATCTAATAACATTTAGGGACGTATGACTTAAATCTTAAGCACGAACCACAAAGTGGTTTAATCTGTTCCTCTGTTATGTAATTTCGTTTTACAGAATGTTCTTGCACGTATTTAATTTATTGGGTTTTTCATATTTTGTACACATACTGGTAAATATTGCGTGTATTTGGGGAGTTCCTATACCAATCTGGTTGTACTGTTGTGTACGACGACAATTAACAATTAAAAGGTAATTTAATAACAGTATAAATAATTAAATAACCATAAATAGCAGCGAAAGTGTGTTTTACACGACATTTTAAGTGGCCACTAGTTGCACCGCTTTGAGATTGTTCTTAATTTTGTAGGGGTAGTGTGCAAACCCATTTACAAGGTAAAAAAAAAACTGTTACGTACATGTCAATGAGTACGCAGACATCTCGAATTGAAAATCTCAGGCCAGCCGCTGACCAAAGTTGGCAGCCCTAATTTCATATGTGTGTGTGTGTGTGTCTCAAAGTAGAGCAAGATGGGATATGTGAAAAGAAGCATTCCAATGTACCTGTACTCGTACTTGTGTTGGCATAAGATTAGTTTTCAGTACGATGTCAACAAGTAACATAAGAAGAAACGTTCAACATTTATTGCAATAAAACTTGCCGCCACTAGGGGTCAATCCAGCACCGTAACCCTGAGCTATGATCAGCTCTGTAGATGTATAGGCAGTTCCCGGCTTAAGAACGTACAATTTAGACAGCATGTGCTTACAAACGGACTTCCATAAAAATCATTATATATATGAGTTTTTCTCGATTGCTTTGACAGATTTCATGAACCATATTTAATGTTCTCAAAACTATAAGAGCATTTCTCACAACAATTCATGCATATAGTACAACACTATGGTTTAGCTGCAAAAGCATCTTTTTAACCAAAACTCATGTCTCAAAAACAAATAATTCCACCAATTAATTGCAGTTTTTATTGATTGCTTTGGAGCATTTCTGACAATTATCATTTACAAAACAATTAGTGTACTGCCCACATGATAATGTCATTTATGCACAGCAAAACATTTCTAAGTGCTTCACAAAAAGTTTGAAATGTTTCAGTATATACATGTCAATGGTTTTGTACAATTCTCATAAATTGGCGCAATTTTCAGTTGCTTTAGTCTTGTTGGTCAAAATATATTATGTAGGTTACCATTGTAATAATTCTATGCCTCAACCACAAATAAATGGGATGGAGTGGTACTCTGAAGCTAGGAATCTATGCCAGCAACTGGGTTGCCAGTTCAAATCCCAGCGAAGGTGAATGCCCAGAGTGATTCTACTCCATTGGGCCCTTGATCAAGGCCCTTAACCTGCAATTGCTTCATCCTGCGTATGACTTTAATCTACATCCAGCCCTATAAGGAGGTCCTCCATCTTACAGGGAATAACTGGGGGGTTGGTGACAGGTTTGGCACTCCAGCCAACAGAAAAAACCTCACCTTGGTATAATAATAATATTATTATGTTTATGATGTTTTGCTTCTTTTGTGTTTTATGTGTATAGAAAGGTAAAATATACAGGTGAAACTCGAAAAATTAGAATATCATGCAAAAGTTCATTTATTTCAGTAGTTCAAGTTAAAAGGTGAAACTAATATATGATATAGACTCAATACATGCAAAGCGAGATATTTCAAGCCTTTGTTATAATTTTGATGATTATGGCTTACAGATTATGAAAACCCCAAATTCAAAAGCTCAGAAAATTTGAATATTACATTAAATCAATAAAAAAAGGATTTTAAATAGAAAAATGTCGGACCTCTGAAAAGTATAATAATGCATATGTACTCAGTACTTGGTTTGGGCCCCTTTTGCATGAATTACTGCCTCAATGCGGAGTGACATGGAGGCTATCAGCCTGTGGCACTGCTGAGGTGTTATGGAAGATCAGGATGCTTCAATAGCGGCCTTCAGCTCTTCTGCATTGTTCAGTCTCATGTCTCTCATTTTTCTCTTGGCAATGCCCCATAGATTCTCTATGGGGTTCAGGTCAGGCGAGTTTGCTGGCCAATCAAGCACAGTAATCCCATGGTCATTGAACCAGGTTTTGGTACTTTTGGCAGTGTGGGCAGGTGCCAAGTCCTGCTGGAAAATGAAGTCAGCAACTCCATAAAGCTTGTCTGCGGAAGGAAGCATGAAGTGCTCTAAAATGTCCTTGTAGACGGCTGCTTTGACTCTGGACTTAAAGCACAGAGGACCAACACCAGCAGATGACATGGCTCCCCAAATCAACACAGACTGTGGAAACTTCACACTGGACTTCAAGCATCTTGGACTGTGTGCCTCTCCATTCTTCCTCCAGACTCTGAGACCTTGGTTTCCAAATGAGATGCAAAATTTGCTCATCAAAAAAAGAGGACTTTGGACCACTGAGCAACAGACCAGTTCTTTTTTTTTCTTTAGCCCAGGTAAGACGCTTCTGACGTTGTTTGTTGTTCAGGAGTGGCTTGACAAGAGGAATACAACATTTGAAGTCCATCTCCAGGTACCCCACACTTTTGAATGGCCTTTTCCTGACAATCCTCTCCAGGCTGCGGTCATCCCTGCTGCTTGTGCACCATTTTCTTCCACATTTTTCCCTTCAACTTAACTTTCTATTAATGTACTTTGACACAGCACTTCTTTTGCAATTACCTTTTGAGGCTTTCCCTCTTCGTGGGGGGTGTCAGTGATGGTTTTCTGCACAACTGTCAGGTCAGCAGTCTTCCCCATGATTGTGAATTCTATTGAACCAGACTGAGAGACCATTTAAAGGCTCAGGAAGCCTTTGCAGGTGTTTTGGATGAATTAACTGATTAGAGTGTGACACTTTGAACCTACAATATTGAACCTTTTCACAATATTCAAATTTTCTGAGCTTTTGAATTTGGGGTTTTCATAATCTGTAAGCCATAATCATCAAAATTATAACAAACAAAGGCTTATGTAATGAGTCTACTGTATATCATTTATTAGTTTCACCTTTTAAGTTGAATTACTGAAATAAATGAACTTTTGCACAATATTCTAATTTTTCGAGTTTCAAAGACAAACATTTGACTAATTGTCTCTAAATAAGAACCATATACATACCTACCTGAACTGACTTACCTACAAAGTCAACATGAAGACAGTCTTAGGGAATGGATCTCATTCATAACCTGGGGACTGCCTGGCATTACACATAGTCTACACAGTAACTCCCTGTTATATGATCATTCGTACTGGGAAATTTCACATGACTTGCTGACTTTCCTGATAGAACACATAACATAAAGAGAAGATGTGTTTTCCCAAGCAGCATATTAAGCTGAGTAGCCATGTCAGTTTCAGTCACTGTGAATGATGTCTTCGAATGCCTACACATTTGTCCTAATCCACCCAAATGTTCCATTTTCCTAGCTTCCATATTCCATATCTTCATTCCTGCTTTCTTCCCTGTCCCAAATGTCTGAGGGCCAGAATGACACGATGAGTTCCTTTTACCTTGAAAGTTGGATATTTTTAGCCCAGAGGGCACAGAAAAAAATCATTGTTTGATTAGTGTCACTTTCTGCTGTGACTGTGACATATTTGCAGCATGAGCCATATGAATTTTTTTCTGCACTGAAAGACATCATTTGACAATTGAGGCAATCCAGATTTTCCACAAGCTTCCATCTTTATGGGCTGTGCAGAAGAATCTGTGCATTGCTACACAGGTGACTCCATGTTTACTGCCAGACTTCAAAGACTTAAGAGGTTTGCATGTGTAACTAATGATCCTGTGTGGCTTTATGAGAACTTCCCAGTATCTGTAGCTACAGTTAAAAGTCACCTGAGTCGAAATTGCAATTAATTGGCAAGACCAACACTGAGCCTGTTCTATGCTGGCACTTTGCACCTTGGCATAAGCAGTTTGTTGGTACCCTATAGGTAGACAAGGTAACAAGTTATGCGGGCATCAGATAGATGTGTTACCACATAAGGAAACCAGGATGTAGGTTTTTATCCCCCAAAGTGCAAACATCAAACTCCACCTATGGTACACACCAAAGGCTGCTTCGGGTGCATCAGGGCGCCACCAGTTTTAACCCCACAATTCTCAGACCTGAGTCTGTGACACACATTCCTCTTCCGTATTCTTTGAACCAGCAAAAAGCAAAAGTTAACATGAGTAGCTATAAAACGGGCACGACGGTTAAAAGGTATTTCATCCCGCTTGTAAAACCAAGTCAACATTAAAAAAAAATTGCTAACAACACTGTTCATATCCATTTAGGCCTGCCAATCCACACCAGCTAATTCCAGGCACAGAGGGTCTGAGCTCCTCTGAGATCTGGTGCTCTGGGTGGAGGTGGGTGGGGGGGTTGGGGGGACAGGGCTTGCTGAGCAGGGGCCTTATTTGCTCCTGGGGTAGCTTGTGCTTATTGTCAGCTGCTGTTGCAACGTTTCAGCAGCTTGACTCACCCTGCTGACAGGGTGAAAACTGTACACAGCAGAGGTTTTTATTGAAATACCAGAACGTTTTACAAATACTAGCAGACCATAAACACTTATTCTTGTGGAAT